GCTTGACAGACAAGTAGCTTTCAAACGAAGCTTCGACTAAATTAGTAGAACCATTAAGTTTAATAGGTGTATGTACATAGATTGCTTCTGCTTGTCGAGTAGGTTTAGCGAAGGATTAATTTATGACAGATAAAGGATCCTTCTTACAATGGTTTGAGTTTATTTGGTTGTTTCATTGATTCTTCTTCTTGTAACTAGGGGAAAACTAGTAATTATCTTTTTAAAACATATCTTCGAACGATACATATTAGAGGAATAAGAATTGAATAGAAAATATCATCTAACTTTTGCAATAGCATTGAATCAAAATGACGAATGTTAAAAATTAAGTATTCCAGGATTAAAGCGCTATAAAAGATACCGAAGAAATAAAACGAACAATTTAATAAAAGAAACGTTTGACGGAGGAATACAGATATAAAATCTCAACCAGGATACAGTAACAACTTCCATCGTAAACAAGCACTTTTCCTGAAACTCGTAAGGACGGCGATTCTAACTGGACTAAATCACTCGACCAAGCTCTGTATAATCCGCGTGGACAAACCAGTTCACTAAACTGCTCGACTAAGCTGGGACAGCTTCACTAAACTATTGGATGGCTTCGAATAGAGTTTTATACGGGATCGTACGTTCGATGAATTATTGCGCGCCCCACTAGCGCAAACAATGGACCCGTTGCGTAGACGTGGCACCGTTATCCGCAAGAAAAACGATTAAATCTCGTCGCGAAACTAGCGACTGGCAACGCTCCGCGTGATGCGACACGATATCATCTGCGCGCAGCTACGTTGTCTGATGAAATAATCATTCATTCGGACGCGAGTCATGTCGGTTATTAGCAAACAGATATAGGTGTACCGATGCTATCTTGCGTGTACCGCGAGATACGGGAAACATGGAAGTGTGGTGTTTAGAGTATGATATTACGTAGGTATTTTGAAGCATCTTCAAGTCTGGCCATTTATCCTATAGATAATCTCTTATGGAGAAAGTGAAGGTATGCAATTAAGAATTCTGAGTGATTTTAAAGTGGTACTTTAAGGCGATGATAGATTAATAATTTGAATGAGATTCGAGATTGAAGCTTAATTAGAATTTTTAATTGTAGTTGATCATAGATAAAGAATATTTAGAATTTACGTACGTCAGCAAATCTTTTTATTTCCGATCGAGAATCCATTGGTCTCTCATACTGTAGCAAAGACCCATATAAGGAAACATCAACCAACTGCAGCTGTATCTCAGCAATTACCCAACAGGACAAACCGCAAAGGGTCTGAAAAGTCGTTTTCGAAACGAATGGAACCATTTCGATTCACGCGGAGCTTAAAATCAGCTCGCACCTGTACTTGTGTTGAATTCTCGGTACTTTTCTCAATTCCACTCCATTACGCGAAAAGAGTCAGCCTGATTACACGGTCATATGGGATGGATTTAAAAACAGGAACGGTTTTTGCGTTGCTCGTATGCTCGCGGCCACGCGCGTGTTTCTGGTAGCTGCGATTACGGCTGCGTTCAAGAAAGAGGATATTCGGCCGCTCGGTAATTACCAGCCGCGAAACCAAGCACCTTTGTGCGGTGCCGCCTGTGAAACAAACTCGCGAGAAGTCCCAAGAGTTGCCGAAAGACGCGGGAAGATAATGCGATAGCTACGCGGCTGGAGAAAGACGAATTTGCGAGTCGTTTTCAGCGGCTTCTCGCCGCGTGCTTTACGCGACAGAAAAGAAAAGAGGTCTTTTGGAACGAAGAGGAGCTTCACCTTGCAAATGTCCGAGTAAGGGTGAGGACGAGGCGGAGAAAAACGAGGGTGAGGGAAGTGCAACAGTAACGTAGCGCCGTGGGGCAAAAACTGTCGCGATAATGAGATTTATGGAGCCCAAAAACGTGGTCGCGATTACCGTGGATAAGCTGAATCCCTCGGTCGTCTTGTTCTCTCTCGGTTTCTTCTGCTTTGTGTTCTTGCCCGCTTTCTACGAAAGATTTTAATTTCGCCTCGGTTGGAACGTGCAAGAACGCCTCTTCTGGGAATCGATCAAGGTTCGGATACGTCCGCAGGTGGATGTTACGACCCTCGACCGAGCATCGTTTCAACGTAGAACGTGAATATGCGATTAACTTTACAGCTTTGAATTTTTTGATCGGTTATGTTTTGTAAGGTTGACTTATTACATTCATTTTATTGTGTTGTGTTTAATTTCTTAAAGGATTTGACATCCGAAATAATTCATTAATTTAGAATAATAAATATATTATTTATTGTCTTCATAGCGATGGTAGAATTGCTGACTGAATAGTCTAAATAGTTTTGGGTTATAAAATATTTGTGAAAATAATAAGTTCTCGTGGTTTGAATTGCTGTGTATTTAGCAATTTGTCCTAGAATGTTGTAAGTTAAAAGCTATAGCGTGAAAATAGAAATATAAAAGTATTATCACCTAAAAAGCAAAAAGCAAGCTGAGAAGTTAAGCTCCGTATGTGGAATTTGTCAATAATAAAGTTGTCTCGGAGAAAACATTTTTTGAACGATAAAGATTTATTTGAGCAGCAGCGGCTTAAGAGGTATGACAATTGTTTTAAAACTCGGTGCTGAATTAAATTCGGTTCCGAAGGATTAACACTCACATATTTGTGGATATGTCGACATGTAAATATTCGACACCATTTTTTCTGGGGAATATTTTTATACTATTATATAAAAAACGATAGATTATACAACCTGATAAAAATATAATTCATGGCAGAGAATCACGTCGGTTTAAACTGGCTTTTATCGCTCTAATATAGAAATATCGATATTACATTCCATGTAAGAGATATAATTAATGAATATTGGAATTTTTCACGTCTTCCGGCGAAAATTTCCGACGTTTCTCCCAACATTCTTTCCCCCCTTACAGATCGTATCTGAAATGGTTCGTGATACAGCAGACCGTCGGAATTTCAGAGAAATACGCTGTCGTTCAAAAGTGCAAGATCACGTTTTGCTATCTGAAAAATTCGTAAATTTTTCATTCGTGATGCAAAGCCAGGACATCCGCTCGCCGTACATTTTCGATGCGCGCGTGTGGATATGGCAAAAGTTCAGGATGGTACGTACGAATATTATTTGTTATGAATATTTATTCAAATGCATGGCTCCATTTTCTTCCAAGTATTCTTTCTTCTTTCGAAGGCCAGTTGTATAGAACCTTCCTACCTTCCACCGTCTACATCATTTTTGTGTACATATTTCAAGGGCTAGTGGAAACCAAATAAAGATTCACGTAACCCATTAAATATTATACTTCATAATGGACGTCTTCTATATTCCTTCGCGTTATTTATTCATTTATTTTATATACAGAATAAAGTTCCATTAGCGTGCAAGTGTAAAATGCATGTACATAAACAGACACAGGCTTGTAAAAAGCATTAAGATGCTTATAAGAACTTTCGAACCTGTATGTTAATGTTTTTTATAACGTGCATAATTAATACATTCAAAGAATTTCTATAAATGTTCCAATACTTTCGTGACCTACCGCAGAATTCGATAAAGTTTGAAGATTTTGAACACATTTATAGAACCAAGGAAAATGTCTAAAGGTGTCGAACGTGTATCTTTTATATCTATTCAAATATCTATTATATATATTCAAATTTTTCAGAATGGCATAGGTATAGGCACGCTATTCCCAAACCACTAATTACGCGCCATTAAAGCAAGACCGTGCACGCTACACGAGGAAAAAAGAGCAGAGCTTCGGCTGTTTTCTCTTTTTGAAATCTCGTTTCTCCATAAAACAGAGTAACACGCGTTGACTTTCCACGGCCGTAGATCACGCGGGTGGCAGTGGCATGCGAAGCTCCGGCTGGAAAAAGGGCCGAGGGACACATCGCCGCGCTAGAACGTGACGCTATTGTACGCAAAACTGTGAAAGATTATCCATCCGCGCGCTGGCTGCATTGTTCTCTATTTGTTATGACACGACTGCGATCCGCGTAACGCGGTACAACTCTGTCCGCAATGAAAATTCCGCGCAAATGACGGACGAGCGGTGATCAAAGGGCCGAGTCGGAGAATTGAAAAGACGCGGGTGCGCGTGCAGTTAAGCCACCGTGTGTGTCGATTGTTTGAACGCTTTTCCCAGCCACGTAATTTATTTCCCCGTTTACCTTCGTTCACTCTCTTCCCTATCATTCATTCTTTCTTTCTTTCTTTCGCTTTTTTCCCTTCGTTTCATTTTCTCTCCTTGTCCATTCTTACTTTGGCGCGAATATTCGGGTCGCGTTTCGCTTCTGTCGAATAGAAACACTGCAACTGAATGGCATACTGGTAATCGTGTCACAGAGGGAAGATAACGAGACGTCGTGAAAATGGATAATTATTGTACGAAGTAGGAACCGAAAACCGCGAAACGGGTCACGGCAAAAGTTAATGAGTCATTGCAATGCCGGCCCCGGGTATATACGTGTACCGTTTGCTCGTGACTTGAGAGTCTGTTGATTGGATGAACGTTGATTGCTGTTCCGTTTTAATTTTCTCTCCCGTTGTGCACCATTCTATACGTTGTATTTGATGTAACCGTTCCTTGCGGTTCGTAATTATTTCTGAAACCAGTTGAAACGCATCCTGATATTTGTGACGTATAAAATATTCGAAGATTAAACGGAAGAACCTTGATTTTTCAAAACAAGACAATCTGAATAATTCCATTGAAATGAACGTTATGTATTTTAGTAGGACTTATGAAATATTTCAACAATTCGTGTTGCTGCTTAAATTATCGTTAAATTCGTTGCATATAAATGATCTTTTATCCTTTACCAAATACTCGTTAATCAACTGATTTAATATCCCAATGTAAAATTGGTATTTGAAAATTCGATTAAATTATCGTTTTCACTTATTTATCAAACCGTGTGCGAAATAACGTTCGAAAAACGTGTCACTGAATAATTCAAATCGAGAAAAGTAAATTCGAAGAAGAACATTCGCAAATACTTCCCAATTTTTGCAAAATGATCAACGATGACGAAGATCATCCCCCAGTAAACGTATCCTGCTATATTCGACATAATCGAACGAGCCGATTAGGTCTGTAACCTGTTGCTGCGCGTATCAAATCAAACTGCGTGTCATCGAGACAAACAAATGCAGCGCCACAACCACGCAGATTACCTAGTCAAGAAAGTAAATTCATATTTCTCCGAGCGCAAGTTATCTACGTTATTCGAGTGTTCGGTCATTTCGTTCGAATTACGATTATTTATCGCGATTTCGAATTTGAGAATACTTTACGGAGAATAGAGATGGCACGAATTTCGATGACGCGTACTCTCGTGATAATCATCCTTTGCACGCGCAAATTCTGCATACGTAGATTTTAAAAGCACGGATTCTGCATGCATGGATTCTACGCGAGCGAATTTTGCTTACACAAATTTTGAACATATGGATGCTGTTGCGTACGTGAATTTTAACCGCGTGAGTCCTACGAGCGTGGATCCTGCGCGTGTGAACCCTGTGCATGTAAATTCTGCGCGTAGATACTGAGCGCATAAATTCTGAACGAGTGAATACTTGAACGCGTAGATTGTAATTGTGTCAGTTCCGCAAAATCTACTGCACAATGGAAGCAATTCGAATCAATCGTAAACGCCGATCTTTAGATTTCTTCTTTATTTCACCCTTGACATATATCGAGTCATCTTATCGTGTGCGTAGCCAATCAAAGGGGAATGCCGCAGTAACTGGTGGCTCTTGGAATTTCGGAGCGAAAGGGAGAGATCGGTCGATTCCAGAACAAACTGAATCCATGGAACGGGATCACGTGTGTGTTGGTCTGTCCTTTGATCCGATGGAATCTGTCAGGTTACTGATGGACGTGAAGAGCAGACACTCCTTCAATGTTCCTGACGTGTAAACGGAACCCGTCGAGGACCCTCTGAGAAGCATCATTCGCGATTGATGATCCGCTTGATCGACGACGTTGCTGCTATGCCGGAGGTTACCGCGATCTCGGAAACCCGCTCTGGAGGACCTGTCGCCGCGTGGAAACAGATGTCCAAATGTAATTGAAGTTTCAGTTACGTTGAAATAAAAGTTACTCGCCGGAAAGGTGGAATTGCTCGTTCACGTTTTGTAATAAATTGTTTCAGTCAAATGAATGGTAAGTCACTTTGTAGATTTATGGTTTAGATTGGATCTTCAGAAAAAAGTAGAATTATCTTTCTGGTGAGCTAAGTAGCTTATTCTTTTGGAAAGTATATATTCGGTTATAATTAAATTTTGTTAGGTTAAATATATAGAATTAAATTTACATGGACAATATTAATTGTATTCGCGGATATCAACTTCGTGGTATTAATTAATCTTGCTCTACCACCGCATTTACCGAACTCGTAAATGAGATAATATTGATGCAGTACGTAGTAAGGTGTAAAGCACCAAGAGCTTATTCAGAGTCGTCTCCTAACAAGAACTATATGCTGATAATAAAACCAGAGATAACGTCTTATCTGACACAAATCTATTCGTAGAAAACAAATATCTCTTACGATATCGAGTATTTATAACACGAATTATAATTTTACTTCGAACACATTTTTATCTATCATGATATTCGAGCAGTAAGTAATCAATATCATATAAGTATCCACATAAAATATTGTAAGAATTTAAATTAAGCATTCTCTCCTCTCAACTACTGTACTGTGACTCTACTAAATCCCACATCCCCCTGTTAATTTTCCAATCTAACTTCTCGAATTGTCGTTCCACCTTTTATATTAACAAAACCATTACTATGCGGAGCGTAAACAACAATCCATTGTTCCTTTAAGGGTTTTAATCAACATAAAAGCGTTCCAGGTTTCGCAATTTCATTGAGAGCCGAGTCCACGTCCACAGATTCTTATTCCGATATCACGAACATCGTGTGGTTGGTGTCTGAAGAGCGCTATCATCGACTCACTACCCTTTCCTCCTTTCGACGATCGACGTCTCAAAGACGGATTCCCCTTCTCTCTGGTTTGGTGCCTGTCCTTTCAACAAGTTCGCTCTGTTCAACTGCTCACGTACTCTGGATGAGGTTAATCGCTATTTGACCCAATTTCGTCTTCGCGCCTTAAACGCGACACGGAGAACAATGGAGACTTTAACGTCATATCTGCCCGTTCGGATAATTCTCCTTGCGGCCTCTTCCTAATGCACCTTCAGCCGATTCCACGGATTTCAGGATAATGAGCGCGCGAATGACAATTACGGATTGTCCTTCCTCTCCACCTTCTGTCTGTTTCTCCCTCCTACCTCTGTCCCAGCGTCCTTAATTGCAATTAGCCCACTCATCTGGGCCACGTTCGGTTCAAATCTTAAAGCCAGAGAGTTCGGTATTCATCGTATGCCTTAGGAAGCTATATGCGATTGGAGAAATCGTGAAAAGTATTCAGAGATTTCGTATTGGATGTCACGACGTTAAAGCGTTAACGACGACGGGTATCGTGCGGAAGAGATTTAAAAAGAGAATTATCTAGCTGGAAATGACGTATTATGAATCAAGACCTCGTGTCTCTTGTAATTAACTAATAACCTCGGTACTTGGATACCTATTAGCGAAGGAGGTCATTTTATTAAAGAAAAGACGAGCTTTCTTTAATTACACAATCACCGCGATATCTAGGTTCTTGTTAGCAGAAGGGGTTAAATACTACTTGCTCCGACCCGTTGAGTTGTAGTTTTGTAATCGAAATATGAAATACCATGAAAGAGTAATTAATACATTACCTAAATCTATTTAGACATTTATTTCTACGTACGCAACTATGTTTCACTTACGATATCAATTATACTAGAACAAAAAAAATCAAGAGCAAATTATCCTTGCATAACTGGAATCCCGAAAGCGCGGGGTTATCGACGCAAAGAAGAAGAAACAACGGCATCCAATTTGGCATCGAAGCTCGAGCGATCGGTACCAATTTACTTATATCCGACGTTCCCTATGGGTACCACCTCTAAGAGAACCAGGAGAGGAGATTCAGCGATTCTCAAGACGAAGCGAAACGATCCGCGACGATTCGGGGGAAGGTAGGCTCGTTTTCGAGGCCAGCCAATTAATTTCTCCACGCGGCTTATCGAGATTCTTCGTCGATGGCCCGGAGCGAGAGCGTTTGCTTCGCGTCGAGCTTGGTTTATTCCTGGCGGCGCAGCGGCAGCGGCACTGAACGCGAAACTCAAGAAAATAGAAGTAGACGAGAGTGAAGACGAAGTAGGGGCGAAGAAGAAGAAGCAAACAGCGAGCGAGTAAGCAACAGCAGCAACCAGCAAGAGGCGCAGAGAAGAGTAGGGCCTACTCTCGGCGAGGAACACAGACCGAACCAGCGGACCCGTGAAGCCATGGAGGCGAGGTCAACGTTCTTCGGAGGTGCATTGCCTCGGAGGCAAGAAGAACGAGAGGAGAAGAGAGGAAAAGGTTCTTTCCGAGGAGCAGTCGGTGCAACACGGCAAGGGCAACGGGCGAAAGGAAGACGCGGAACGAGAGGACGATAGGCAAAAACGAACGAGCGAACCGGCACAGGAAGGGAGAAAGAGCCACGAGAGAGGAAGGGCGCGCAGCACAGGATGGCAAGAGATAAACAAGAAGAAGAAGAATGGTGGAGTGGCTGGAGGAGAACCAGCCTGGCTGGAGCGGCAGGTGCAACGGGCAAACCGCGAGGGGATGCAACGTTATGAGGATGTGGATTCCCATAATTGCGGCTGGATCATCGACTTACGGCCGGATTTCGAGCCGCGTCAGAGGCAGGAGGAGTATGGATTTTCTTATCCCGCTCCGACTTCCTCCTCGTTCGCCGAAAATTGCCTCTCTCTCGATCGCACTTGATCTCACCTTGGTAACCTTAGATTGCCTGGAGGATCGTGATATTTAAACTTTCCGGTATTGGTCCTCGTATCCTCTATTTAAGTTCTTCGCTATGAACGCTCTTTGGTACGAGCGGCGTTCCCTTAAAGACCAGATATAGCATTCTCCGTTGCTTTTGTGAAGACAATGGCGGAAAATTGAATCATAAAGTTGCTATTGTAAAGAAGGAAGGCTAAGGAGGATACACAATGCACAACCCTCATGATCCTCGTGTGTCACTTTCTGGATGCTGGTAGCTATCTTTATAACTTTGATCCCCCAAGTTTCTTCAATGTATATTGAATCTTCGTGACATCGTAATTGGGCGTTATTAGGCAAGATATGTCTTATTCTACAGAAGCTGTTTTAACAATTCCATTCTTTGGTTCGTGTTCTTTAAACTCTATTTAATCTATATCTCGATTATTCTCATCTACGTTCTATATCTCGACTAACTCTTAAAAATCATTTGTAATATACGTTCAACGGACACGTAGTATAATGAAAGGCGATGGAACGGAAGCAAAAACAATGCTACATACATACTCTCCTATACTCGGAACTCCCAACGTAAGAACCCACATAGAACTTCGATATGAGCTCACCTTCTAACCGTGCTCTGAGCGAGTGACTAACCTACAGTGAAAGTAAGGCTACTATTCCAGTTACAGTGACACCTCCTACACTCATTACGAAGAATAGAATCTATTCGTCTGCCAATCGTTATCCTCGCAATTTCCTGTCCAAACTTTCATTTCCATAAATCATTTGAATCGGACTTCGATATTTCAATTTTACTAAATATCGTTAATATTTTATTAAAATCGACTGTTCCTTGCTTATTTCATTTAGTTCTCTTACGCGATTAATCTCTCTTATATCACCATATTATCATATTATCGTCGAATAAAATGTACTAATCTATTTATATCACAAATCAATCAACATTAATACTAATGTTACCAGGCCAAGTCAAATGACCGGTTTCAAAACTTAATTTAGAATTGTACATTCATTGTTATTCCTTTTGTCCATCTAACTTTATGTAAATTCTTTATGTAAAAAATCAGATAATATAGGATTAGTGTTAAAGGTATTTAGGGAACGCCACGATTAAAGTATATATGAAAAATGGGGAGCATCGTTACATTGTCGCACTTCCGTCGACAAATCTTCGATTTAAGTCGATTTAGGTCGTTCTTGAAGAAC